ACACACACTAACACACCGCCACCACGTCAGTGTCACTGCAGTGCTGAAAATGATCCACCACCCAAATAGTACCTGCTCTGTGGTGGTCCTGTGGGGGTCCTGACCACTGAAGAACAGGGTAAAAAAGTATACAGAGAAACAGATGGACTACAGTCTGTAGCTGTAGAACTACAAATACAGCAGATCTCAGTACTGTTTTAATGAAGGATCAATCCTTTCCAGTGGTTGTAATCATTGAGCCAATTCCCATTAAAAAAAAAAAAAAGCAAAACCATAAGCCTTTAATCTTAATGGCTCTAATGATCTGTTTTCAGCAGGGTGGGCTGATATGAGTCAGTCAAAAAAATCTGAGGGTTATTTCTCAGGAGCCAAATTTCAGAAACAGGAAAAAATGGCTTAACGGGAACTCCACAGATTTTTCAAAAGTGCAAAATAATTAAACACTTCATTCTAGAGAAACTTACATAGTCAGAATTGCTCACAGTGGTGGTGATAGGAACCAGACGTCCACCTCTAAAAGCTCCCTCACACTCAGCCTGATGTCTGAGACGTTGATTTTACAGTAGTTTTGCGATAAAGTTTTTGGACTAAAATGTATTTTAATCAGTTTATTTTAATCCAATTTTAAGGATACAAGAAGGGTGTTCTAAGGCAAAATAGTCCCCAAAGAAAAGGTTTTTCCTACTATTTTACCATCATCAACATTACACACAAATCTCAGAAGACACATGTAGGTTCACTGGTGGTTTTGGACAGTAAATAAAATGGCTATATTTGTGTTGTAAACATGGCGTCTCCTGGTTCCCATCACCACCACTGTAAAGAAATCAGAGTCTGTAAGTTTCTCCACAAATTTCATTTCACATCAAACCACTATGAATGATTTTGTTTACATCTCAACCACTAAATAATGCAGAAATTTTGAAAAATCAGTGGAGTTCCCCTTTAAGTCTCACTCTGATTTCAAACAGGACTTAACAATGTCTAGGAGAAATAGATAAGATTAAGAGGAGACAGGGCTGTGCAGTATGACAATATATATCATTATCATGAGAAATTATGTCATAATTCAATACGACATGCTTTTGTGAACATATTGTGTATATCATCAGTAAGCATAGAACACTGACCAACGGCAAGTTTCATTATAAAGAGAGCCAGTTTAACTGGATTTAGTCAAAGTCCTTATAGGAAAATCAGTTAATTAGGCAGCTATATTTGCAACGCCGCCGGGCAGTTATTTCCCGCCGTACGTGACCAGGCCCCTCTCTATAAGATGGGGAAAGACCAAAATACTTCAAACTGAAGCTCAAATTACTGTTTCAAAAACATATTTGAAATCACTGGTGAAATATGACGAAAACATCATAAACAGTTTGTACTGTTAGCTCAAAAACACATTAAAAAATAGTTGTTCTGGCTACTGCGCTTGGGCAGGTCTTCACAACGAGGGAGGGCTTTCCCTGCTCCTCTGCATAACTAGCAAGCTCATTGGCTCTTCGCATTCTTATTTTAACCAGTAACTGGTCTCCTTTCTTGTAACATCTCTGATTTAGTGCAACACAGAATGTCAAATATTGAATAAAAATCATTGTGTTCACATTTTCTAATAGTATTTTTAAAGATGTAGCAATACTGGTCCTTTTTCCTCTGTTCTAACTCATCAGATATCTGGAAAAATAAATATTGTGATGTATCTTGTATCGTGAAAATTTCTTGAAGTATCGCGATATTACATTTTTGCCATATTGCCCACCTCTAACAGGAGATCTCATTTAGAATATTTCTTCCCTCTGGGTTAGCAACTGACTTTTGTTTTAGGTTAATTTACAACTGTTACAAGCCAAAAAAGCCAGAGAAACTAAATAAAGATCACAAAAGTGGAGAAAATGTGCTACAATCCAGCAGAACAGCCTGGCCAGTCCAGTCCAGCAGGCCACAACTGCTGGAGACCCCGTAGCGACCTCACCACGCCCGCCCCATTGCGGCAATATCCATGCGCCTCACGATATAGTCCTACGCATAGGCTTGAAAGCTCCGTCGCAAGTTTCACGAATAAACGACGCTAAACCTCTCCGGGAAATATTTTAGTTGCGGTAGCTGGTGCGAGTGGTGAAGAATCTACAACCGAAGGAGCCGCTAATCGTAGCGTTTTAAACCGCTCGGGAACGATAGGGGAGGAAAGGGAAAGAAGTTCCGGTCAGATAAAATCGCCTGAGGCTCGATCGCTCTTCCTTTCCAAGTGAATGCCGAAGTCGCGAACGGACCATGTCTAGCGGTTCTGCTGATTACCACAGGTAGTTCGCTTTATTATCGGGTAAATTTGCTTGTGTGCGACGCTACGGGGTTTTATCTTGTAACGACCACGGTTTCAACACTCCCCATTTTCGTGTTTTCATGTTAAATGGCCGGTGAACGGCCGTGGCGCCGTATCGCGGCCTGCGCCACACCGTTTAGCCGCGTAGCTAAAGCTAAATACCGAAGGCACAAAAACAGACAACGGCCAGCTTATGATGGTTTATTTGCCCATATTAATATAACATCATTCTTCAGTTACGCTATTCTGTCTAAACTAAAGGGATGTATTCAGTTAAAACGTAATATTTTGTGTTTGTTTCGCTCCACGCCCGCCTCTTGGTGCTGCGGCCTGTTAGCCTGAGCGGGTAACACGTTAGCAATGCTGCTAACAGCTAAGAGCTATTTCAGGCCAAAATCGGCATCTGCGAGGTTTAACAGCTCTTTAGTTTTGATGTTGTGGTGTTTTAATGTGATGTTAAGGAGTTTTAACATCCTGTAAGTAGCTTTCCAGACTTAATATTGACATAATGGTCTAGTTTGATCTTAAAATCGTACAAATGCGTACGACGCTAAAGTTGGGTTCTTGTTCACCTGCTTCTTGTTCGAATATTCCCGTTCCACCTTAAATGGTGCAGCAGTCACATTGTGGCATTTAAGGACAGACTGTAGCGTTAACTGGTGCCCCATTTAAGGTGAAACGGGAAACGCCAAAATGTAAACTCGTATCCCTTTTAAGGTGAAACGGGAAACGCTAATATGCGACTGCTGCACCATTAAAGGTGGAACGGAAAATTCGCACAAAAAGCTGGCGAATATCAAGCCAACTTTAGCCTCGTGAAGTAGGAGTGCATGTTACTGTAATGCAGTACTAATGTTACTCGTCATGGAGAGAGGGGCTCACTTTGCTCACTCTATCCACGTGGCATGCCAGGAACGCGCCTGGTTCCCCACACATTATAAAGCTCATAGCTTGCCTTGCAGCTGGGACATTTCTTCATGCAACTCTTTTAGGAGTTGCTCTTAGGTGGTCCGCAAAGCCTTGGAAAAGCCTGGAAAGACCTTTCCTAAACTTTTTTGGTCTTTTAGCTCTAGAGATCGAGACCATGGAGGGCCGGAGGGTATGGAGCCGGATGGTATCATCGAGGTAATCACCTTGAAATGCCATAATTATAGTATACTTAAAGGGTAATTTCACCATTTGTCTTCAAATTTCTGAATAATTCTGTCATTGAGATCTAAATGGATTTATTCACAGTGGTTTGGCTTGCAGTGCTTAATTACCAAGAGACTTGCAGACTCAGATTTCCTTACAGAAACCAGGGGTTGCCATGTCTACGATACAAATATAGCTAATTTATCATCCAAAAACACCCGCACAGCTACAAGTGTCTTATGCATTTTAAATGTAATGTTGGTGACTGTGAAAGTCATAAATCTGAAATGTACTTCTTTTGGGACTGTTTCGCTTTACTGTGCTCTGGGTAGCTATCTGCCATGCATGGAATAATACATGTTTTAAGCCAAAAGTTAATTACAAAACTATCATAAAACCACATGTCAGACCACCACCACTGGGAACGACTAACTTGGCAGGTTTCTCTAGAACTCAGCATTTCACTCCAAACTACACTGAATGAGCTGTAAACAGTCAGTTGCTTAGTTGTGTAGAATTTTTTGGAAAATGGGTGGAGTTTAACTTGAATGCTCACACATTCGAGCCGAATTTGACACGTGGTTTTCTGTCTTGCAGAGCAACTGGAATGAGATCACAGACAATTTCGATGATATGAACCTGAAGGAGACACTTCTCCGCGGGATTTATGCATATGGTTTCGAGAAGCCATCAGCTATTCAGCAAAGAGCAATTATTCCTTGCATAAAAGGTGAATTTATTTATTTTTTTTAAATTGTTTGGGGAGCCAAATTATTTTATTTTACTGGGTAATGGCTGTTGAAGGTCTTCTTGTACTGCATTTGCTTGAGATTAATGTTACCCCATGTCGTTCAGGTTACGATGTCATTGCCCAAGCCCAGTCAGGCACTGGCAAAACAGCCACATTTGCCATCTCCATCCTGCAGCAATTGGAGATTGAGCAGAAAGAGACTCAGGCTCTGGTCCTCGCACCAACCCGAGAGCTTGCTCAGCAGGTATGCTGTACCCGAGGTCATGATAAACTTAAGTGTGTCTCAGACCAAGGCGGCATATTTGGGCGGTAGCTGAAATGAAGGTACTATTTTGCTTTTCTTCCTGCTATGTAACTGGTGAAATGTGGACTTTGTCTCTTAGTCTTATTTGATGTTTAGCAGGGAGTAGCAACCCAGTCATTTTGGATGTGAATTTACTGCTAACAGACTTTGTTTTTAGATGTCTTAAGATTTATAAGTTGATGGTTAAGAGCCATAAGCTATGTTTGTTTTTTATTTGTTGTTAATTTAAACTGACTTGTTCTTTGTTCTCTTCTCTCTGCTTTTTTTGTAGATTCAGAAGGTCATCTTGGCTCTAGGTGACTACATGGGTGCATCATGCCACGCCTGCATTGGGGGTACCAATGTTCGCAATGAAATGCAGAAACTCCAAGCAGAAGCCCCACACATTGTTGTGGGAACTCCAGGCCGTGTGTTTGACATGCTGAACAGGAGGTTCCTCTGTAAGTGTTTGAAACCAAAACATCTGTTCCTTGGCCTAATATATGTTGAACCAAGTGTGAAATGATGGTATCATCTTTCGGGACTGACATGTCATGGAGATGTCTTTCTTTTTTGCTGATCACGCTCTTGTCCAGTATATATTGTCTCTATGTGGGTTACTCTGGGCAATGAATTGCCTGACCAATTTTTTTTTTTCCTCATAGCTCCCAAATGGATCAAGATGTTTGTCTTGGATGAAGCAGATGAAATGCTTAGTCGTGGATTCAAGGATCAAATTTATGAAATTTTCCAGAAATTAAGCACAAACATCCAGGTTAGTTGAGCTTTACCCAACAGTCTCTGTTTACTTTCCTTTCCCTTCCATACAAAAGAACTGTGCTTAAATTACAGAATCCAGGTCGTCTTGGTTTATGTAATAATGCTAGCAGAGTAGCAAAGTGGAAGAAGAGCAATTGCCCTGCACCGGAAATGAAAGATGGCCGGACCTCTTTCTTAATGTCCAGTGGCCTTTGTTTCAAGGTTCAGTGCTACAGTTACTCAAGTTGATGAGGTCGGCAGAAGTGTTTAGTTGTCTTGTACCACCAAGAAAGCAAGCGTTATGAGTGATGCACACGTGCTTCTCTGCAGGTTGTGCTGCTTTCGGCCACCATGCCTGCAGAGGTGTTGGATGTGACCACGAAGTTCATGCGGGAGCCCGTCCGCATTCTGGTGAAGAAAGAAGAGCTTACCCTGGAGGGTATCAAGCAGTTCTACATTAACGTAGAACGAGAGGTGAGGACTTCTGTGGCATGTTTAAACATGTCCTGATGCTGTTTGGTAGAAAACCCCCCTTCTTTTCCAAAGCGCCATGCCAAAATCAGCAGGTCTAAGCTCTCGAGCTTAGTTCTGGTGGTCATGCTAGTATGGCATGTTTCAGAGAAGGGAGAGCAAAGACACAGTTTCGGAAATGAGTCTAGGGGGGACCTCTTTCTTAATGTCCAATGTCCTAGGTCTCGAGATTCTGTGATACAGGTTACAGTAATGTGACTAACTTTTGTCTGAGGAGTTCTTTGTCTTCGATGCACCTCTAACAACAAACTGACTTAATTTGCAGGAATGGAAATTAGACACACTCTGTGATCTCTACGAGACCCTGACAATCACCCAGGCTGTCATTTTCTTAAACACAAGAAGAAAGGTGGACTGGTTGACTGAGAAGATGCATGCGAGAGACTTCACCGTCTCTGCACTGGTAAGAGAAGTTCATTAAAGCTGCTCATTCATCCTGCTGCCGGCAGATCGATATCGCTTTAGAAGTTAATTTTTGTACCTACCGATTCTGCCTGTTGGATTAAGTATGAAATGATGGTAGTTCATCTTTCGGGACTGACTTGTTATGGAGACACTCTTCCCAATTTTCTGATCATACTTCTGACCAACTGGCCTTTGACGAACTTAAGTTTGAGATTAGTGTTTCTGCTGGTTCTAAATGAAGTCTTTTCTTGCAGCATGGAGACATGGACCAGAAGGAGAGAGACATTATCATGAGAGAATTTAGATCTGGCTCTAGCAGAGTGCTGATCACGACAGATTTGTTGGTAAGTTGATTGTAACCCCTCGGATGCTTTCAGTTATGGTTGCTTCCGCTTTAATTGTACTTGGGATTCTGTTGTGGTATGAAACGAATCAGATTTGTAGTATTAGGTAACTCGGTGTGCCTGTACTCTGACACAGTTATGGTTTCTGTTCAGTACGTGAAACAATAGGTTTTCACTTCCTTAGGTCTGTTGCGTAAATGCTTGCTCTGTAACCACATGCTGTGCAGTGCACTTGTGAGATTAGTAAAGTAACCGTTTTTCCGCAGGCGCGTGGTATTGATGTGCAGCAGGTTTCGCTCGTCATCAACTATGACCTTCCAACAAACCGAGAGAACTACATCCATAGGTGAGTCATAGCAGTGGTCAGGTGTCCAATTCTGAAACCTGTTGCAAAGCCAGCTTGCTAACTCGTCTTTCCTTACCAGGATTGGCCGCGGAGGTCGGTTTGGCAGAAAAGGTGTTGCCATCAACTTTGTTACAGAGGAGGACAAGAGGATTCTTCGAGACATCGAGACGTTTTACAACACGACCGTTGAGGAGATGCCCATGAATGTCGCTGACCTGATTTAAACTCCGGAGATTTTAATGCAGGGATAGCTATCGAATAATCACTTGCATTTTGCGCTTATTTTATTGGAAGAATAAAAAAAAACCTGTTCTCCTCAATGCTGGCTGTGGATCAGACTTGCGAATTCGATACGTGACGTGACTTTTTCTGCGTGGACGGTCGTAGACTCCCTACCAGTCTGCGCTGGTAGCGGAGTTTACAGAACATGGGTTCTTTAAATGTATTCTTTATCAGGTATTTTCTCCCTAGTATGTTTAAAATGTACGTGTTAGATGTTCTTCATCGTTTAGTAATCTACTTGTGGACTAAAAGATACAAGTGCTGCATCAAGTCTGCCAATTATGTTATGCTAACATATGTGTGCAGTTTAACTTGGTTCACTCTTCCCATGTCAGTAAAACGAAAGGCACTTTTTTTTTGTTTTTTTTTGTTGAATGTATTAATTTAATTGTATATTGTTATCAAGTACTTCTTTGTGTGAAGTCCTCTTCAAAGGTGGGTCTTAAACTAAATGTTCCATGTAGTGTTTGGCTCATTTGACAATAAAGAGGATAGTGGTACTCCGCCTAGAGCTTTTTTGGAGTGTTTTAAGCTTGACAGGTGTCTTCTGTATTTATTTATTTATTTATATAAACTGTTTTGTGATGCATGGCTGTTCTACAAAGGCCACTGTTGTAAAGGATTGACTTCTACATCTTTGGAGCTTTTGTGCGTCTGATTTTGAAATGCAAATGAGAATCTACCTGGGTGACTAGTTGGCTCCAGGGGTGAAAATACAGTTGATGTAGATGTCTGATTAGTTTCATGTTCAGAGGAGTTGGTATGTATCCACTGGCACACCACATTTGAAATGCAAAAGAAAACCATAAAGCCATAGCAGGCACATCGTGCTAGGTCCAGTGGAATTTGACTTTGGCCGTGCATACTGAAAGGGAGCTGGTGCTTGTGTGAAATGTACAGCAACAAGTGCTTTTGCAAGGCTGGAACTGTAGTATATTTGAGTGTAGGATTTTCTTGTTTTTATTAGGTTTTTATAGTTTGGGTCAAACCTTAAATGCCTGCTTCAAGCTGGCTTTGTATTTGAACCAACAGGCAAAGTGAATGTGTATTCAGTGTTAACGAATTGTATTCTGGCACTTTTGTCAGCTTGTGTTGGACTCTTTCCATGACTTATTTCGAGTTGAGTCAGGTGGCGTGACTTTAGTGACCACAAAAATGCCTCACATGCTAGATTGGCCAAGGTGAGACAGGCAGTGGGTTGCAGTCAGGAAAGAAGGGGCTTTCCATTGTGGTTGCTACTTCAGGTATACATGCACCAAGGTACTTGCAAGATGGTGGGAAAGCCTGTTTACTGTCCGAGCATTAAACGTATGCTTAGAAAGGAACGTATCTTAAGGCAAACAAAACTTAAGAATGGTTGGTGAAGGAGGCCTATCATTATTAAGAAATTTCTTCTTAAAACCCACTTTCAGACAGTTTCTATAAAGATTCTGACATTCCCCATGTTTTATTAGGGATTTGTTCTTCGGAAAGAACAGAATCTGCAATTTAAGAACAGGTCACGAATCGGAGGCAGACTTTTTCTTAGGATGTTTCTCAGAAATAAAAAAAAAACAAAAAAAACTTTCACTCACCATCATCCTAATTTTCTTGAATGCACTTCTCCAAGAAAAAAGCTAAAATTTGCAAATATTCAAAAATCAGAATAGTTTTTATTGCCCATCAGTGTGTCTTTTCCTAGCTTAACTTCATACAGTGTGAGGTCCATACTGAATTTGAATTAAGCACTTCGCATTAGCTGGTTATTCAGTTTAATCTGCTTAATGAGGATGGAAAACGTAAATTAAACCAAATGCCCAAAGACTTCTGAGCAAAGGAGTGGAGGTACTGGTGAAGGAAAGAGCCAATCGGGGGGGAAAATCATCTTGGCTTGTTTTACCAGTTGTATTTTAGTGAAATTTATTTTTACAGGCTCACCTTGACAACTCCGACAAGTAGGAGGCTGTTAAAAAAATTTTATTCCAAAATCTCCACGTGTTTTCAAAAGGAAATGAAGATGTCTTATTTATTTATTTTTTTTAATTAAGAAATTAAGAGGGGGGGGGCACATTTAAGAAAGCAACAACCCTCCTCTGTATTCAGCAACATTTCTCACTTTAACCACAAACCAAAAATTTAAGGTATGCACATAAAGAAGCAACAAACAGTTTATTAACAGTATAGAAAAAAATTGTCAATATTACTCAAATACACAAGTCACATAAAAGACCGTAACACGGACGCAGAACATTAGATTCTAGATATTTCCAGCAGTTGTTCACAGAGGGTGGCCTGACGTGGGCAACACGATCTGATGTCCAAGTCTTGCAGCCAGGACATTTGATCCTTTTGCTAAAAATAGGGTAGTCCTTCAGCAGGGGATAGGGACGGGTCCCCGGTTATGAAACAGGTTTCACTTAGAGTCGTCTTCAATGGACCCCATGACAACTCACACAAAAGCGTTGACCAAACAAATGTCCTCTCAACCATCATCCCTGATTACATACAACCTAGAACAAATATGGTCTTCAGAGCACAAAGCCACACCTTTGTAACCTTGTGCCAGTGCAATGTAAACTGTTGCTGGGAACACCACCTGTGGTGTTTAAGGCAAGTTTGAGGCATCAACGTCGTGCAGGTCTGATCATTCACAGTTTTTTTTTTACCACTGCTTCCCAGAAATGTTTGACGTATATGATGTACAGATCACAAGATGTGATTTTGAGGTCAGCGCTGAACCAATGGTCACACTTGAGTAAACTCTTCTTATGTTGTGTTTTTTGGCAGATGCTGAGGTAGTGAGTTACACATACGAGTAGAAATAGAGAACTTCACATTACAGTAGCAAACAGAGGAGCGCTGACGTTTTGAGGAACTGAGTGATTTGCCGATGCGCTGGCCCCTGCATTCTGGAAAACCCACATCCAACGTACTGTCCTTGCGGCTTGCTCCCCCTCCTCTGCATCTATGTGTGGAACCAGTCACCTCAGTGTTATGAGAGTTTTAGCTTCTCCCAACTTGCAGTCCCGAATGGTGGCTCGCTGAAGCTTAATATAAGAGTAAAAACACAGTAGACGAACATTCACCAATAGTTCCCAACCCTGGTCCTGGAGTAACCCCCTGATTCCAACACAACTGATCCAACTAATTAAAAAGCCCTTCATGGCTTCTTGTTGCGCTGGAAGCCACAAAAACTACTACAGTATGCAGAGCAGGGGGTAATGCAAGACCAGGGTTGGGAACCTTATGCAAATATACTTTATGAAGGCTCAAGGTGTCAAGAGTATAATCCTTGTATCTGTTCCAGACTCTCAAGGGTGTGCCTTGGTTTCTCTCGAGGTGTTGGAAAAATAAAAAGGCACAACAGAAGTGCTTATGATCATGAAAAATAACCCTTCAATATCTGTAAGAAAACAAAACTTTCTGAATAGATTTGACAAAGTGAAATGCAAGGATATTGCTTACTCATAACTGCTCTTATGCGTCATGACAGCGATGACATTTAAAAGTAATTTATGGCCCAAAAAATCCAAGTGACACATAAAAATACTACCAAAAAAAAAGACTCCTGCTCTCTGAGCAGAAAGTGGCAAGGTATTAAAATAGCAAGGCGGGGAACCCCAAGTGATTTCATACTAAACCAAGTCCCGTGTCCTACAAGAATGCTGCTTTGCATGGATAAGCATTTGCAAAAAATGGTTTACAAAGCAGTGCAATTTTAGCCAGAGTGCAGTAAAGTCTTCCAAAGGGTCCCGAGGATACTTTCTGCACTTCGGGATCGGTCGCATGTTTCCAGAGTTCATGAAAGTCCTTCACATGCCCATGCGAGGTCATCATCTGCTTGTAAATGCAGCGGTGATAAGGGGCCCTGCCCTCTCCCGAAAAGAAGACATGCTCCTGGGGCAAAACCCCTATCGCGTTGGCACAAATGCCCATGAAGACGTCGTCAATGTAAAGAGAGGCATTCAGGGTGAGGGAAGCCTGGTAGACCTTGGAGGCTACGTCTTTGGAGAGGACATAACCAGATCCAGGAGTGTAATCAGGATACATCAGCCAGGGATACATCTCTTCAGACACATAGTACTTGCTGTCCTTGCTACGAATTGGAGGAGAACCTTGATGTACCTTCCCGACCCAGAAGTCCTTTACCCCAGCCCGGTCGACCTCTTGCAAATAGTGGATGAGGTTGGGCAAGTGAACAAAGATGTCATCATCCGCAGACATGAGGAATCGGGCATGGGGACAGTATGCATGCGTCCAGCCCAACTGCAAGAGCAGCTTGATGGTCAGGTTGTGGAAGGTATCGAGAAAGTCCTGCTGGACCAAATCGTGGTATTTTTCATCTTCCTGGAACAGCTCCCTTTGCAGCTTCTTCCTCTGCAAGGGCTGTGGGGGGAGGCCAAGAGCAAAGACCACTTTCACTGTAACACCCAAGGTCTTCTCAATGTAGGCCTCGTTGCCCCACGTTGATCGAATGGCCCGCCTCATCTCAAAGTTCTGCGGTGAACTCTTGACAAACAGCAGGAGCAGGACATCCTTGTCGACACACTTCCGCTCGTGGTTTATTAGGTAACGGTGATTGCTAAACTTCTGGGCTTCTTCACGGCTAATTGTCAAGTTGGCAGTGATGAAGTCGAAGTTGGTAAGCAGGTGCCGTAAGGAGTAGGACTTTATATGACTCACTATATTATTGTCAAGACTTTCCCAGTACAACATGACCACTGATAACGCAAGGCAGGTCATCATCAGCTGCTGAATTTGGCGTTTTTTGATCCTGCGAAAATTCACAAACATCCTGGACCCTCTGAGAACTTCAGCTGCAGTCATGTTCGAGAGGTGGCAGAGAACAGGCCTGGGTTACGTTTCATAGAGAGACATTGCTTCTCACAGTGTCCTAGTTGGAGTTCCATCATAAAGCCGAGACCATTTCAAATCTGAAACAGAAATATACGTGTATATTAGTTACCGGGTTTTTGATCAAGATTTCAATACCTTGCATACTTAAATTTAATAGAGGGAGATTCACTCGAAAGAGCCCCCCGAATATTCTGTAATAACTCTCGCTAGGACGAAGCAATCTGAATGAAACAGGATGCCCCTGCGTCGGAGCGATGAGGTAGGCGCCGGACAGCTGTCACGACATTCAACCTCCATTTGTAACTTCCTGGTGCAGACCCCAGTACCCCTTCATGTGTCTGGCAGAAAACGGAGATCACTTCCAGCATTGCATGTAATGCAATCAATTACACATATGTCAATGCATGTTGGGTATTTTTTTGGTTCTGATTGCTTCATCCTAACAGGAGTTACAACAGATATATTCAGGGCCTCTTTCGAGTGAATCTACCTGTATAAATGGGCATCTGATGCCTCTAATGAATAGGGGCTATTTGATTACAAACAGTATAATTAGTTCCATTTAATTGTGAAATTATGAAAAAAGTAGTTGCGACTCCCTCCAAATGATCAAATATTGATGCATATTGTTTATTGTGTTAAAGTATTATGATGTAAATTTATCATCCACCCCTACTAAGTCATACTGTTTGTAACATAAACATTAACATAAAGTAGCAATAACATCTTAAAACTGTCTTGACAAGAAAGTAATCCTGTGGATTTTTGTACCAACACACTCTCACTGGTCACTTAATCAGGTATATCCACCTTATATTTGCACTCACTGTCTATTTTGTGAGGTCCACTTACCAAACAGGTGCACTTTGTAATTCTATAATTACAGATCGTAGTACATCTGTCTGAATTATTTGTTAGGCTCTTTTTACTCTGTTCATCAACAGGTCAGGACCCCCACAGGACCACCATTGAGCAGGTATCTTTTGGGTAGTGGATCATTCTCAGCAATGCAGGAGTATTTAAACAGCTCAGTATCACTCCTGGACTGACAACAGCCCACCAACCACAAAATAAAAAAAATAAAAAAAAAGTAAACAGCACCATGTGGTAGATACTGACCACTGATGATGGACTACTGGATGACTAACTCAAACTGTCCATCAATACATGAACCATAATCTGTAACTTTATATCTACAAGGTGGACCAACAAGGTAGGAGTGTCTAACAGAGTGGACAGTGAGTGGAAACAGTGTTTAAAAACTGCAGCAGCACTGCTGTGTCTGATCCACACACACCAGTACAACACCCTTTACCGTTACAGTGTCACTAGCGTTGTTAATGATCCGCCACCCAAATGATACTCGCTCAGTGGTGGTCCTGTGGAGTAGATGGCTTAAGCAGCTGCTCATTATCATCAAATCATCACCAACACAAACATTTTATATAATACCCATTATACAATATTTTGGCAGCTTGCGGTAGTCATTGCTATAAGTTAGCCTTTCATTGTACAGTACATCACAGTATACCAGCAAGCAAGATAACCAGTTCACAAATGTTATGTAAACAAAGTTATTAACTTTTGTTTTGCCCCCAAATTTAATGTTGCCATTGATATTATAACAATGTAAAACTATTGAAAAAGGCCAAGGCCCTGACCACTGATCAACAGGGCAACAAATTACGCAGAGAAACAAATGGATTATAATCTGTAACTGCAGAACTACAAAGTGTATCTACACCGATCAGATCAGGCATAACATTATGACCACCTCCTTGTTTCTACGCTCATTGTCCATTTTATCAGCTCCACTTACTATATAGGTGCACTGTGTAGTTCTACAACTACAGACTGTAGTCCATCTGTTTCTCTGCATACTTTGTTACCCTGTTCTTCAGTGGTCAGGACCCCCATGGACCCTCACAGAGCAGGTACTATTTGGGTGGTCAGCACTGCAGTAACACTGGTGTGTTAGTGTGTGTTGTGCTGGTACGAGTGGATCAGACACAGCAGTGCTGCTGCACCTATATAGCAAGTGTAGCTGAAAAAATGAACAATGAGCGTAGAAACAAGGAGGTGGTCATAATGTTATGCCTGGTCGGTGTATAAGGTAAGTGGAGCTGACAGCATGAACAAGGTAGATACCTAATAAAGTTTGAGCAACAGAACATTCATTTTTGGTGCAATAAACTGGCAACGCAACACTGCTCATCAGAATCGTGACCCCTATTGTGGATATCCATGTATTTTAGTACACAACAGTAAAGCTGTCACTGAACAAATATGCATATGTAAATCTATTTGACTGTACAAAAACAATGCTCTACTGTCAACACTCCAGTTTGGCAGCCTAACTTCATCCTGAGAAGAAATGGCTCTGTGTATATTTATCTATCAAACAGACGTTTGAATATCACCTGATCTAACCTGCACACATTAGCGTACGGCCCTGTTGGGGCTTTTGTCAATGAAGTGTCCTGGTTGTACTTTTTCAAAGATCCCTGTGTCAATGTAAAAGCCAACACAGCAAACGTGCCATAAAGTGGCCAATAATGGAGGGCTTTAAGGCCTTAGAGGCGGTGAAAAAGTGCTGAGGGGGATGCAGAGCTTTCAAACGCAGTGAGAACACAAAGGATGCCCAGAACCCACAGCTTCCGCCAGGCACGGGAATAAAACCAGTGGATCATCACTCTAGAATTCCTCGCAACGTTCCTCACATTGCTTTGTTTTGGCCCAGTTATTCCACTGTTCATCGGCTTAGAATGATAAGGTTTGAAGTTCTTTCTGAACCCAGGATTGAGATGTTGAGGACCAAAGCTTTTACTTGGGTCCACTACACAACTTTTAAAGTCCGAACAGATTATAAAAGACAGGGCATCTCACACTATCTGACTGGTTTTTGCAGATTTTTCTGGACGACTGAAATATTGGGGATCACACACTAAACCAGGGGAGACATTCAAAAGCATGCAATGACAACATACAATTCCATACGTGTTAATTTCCAATTATATAACCTTTCATACAACTTGTGACCCATACCCCTCCCTCCTTTTTATTCTTTAAAAATGATTATTTTCTCTTTTTGACATTCTTTGAAAGAAAACAACTATATACATTAAAACCTGAGAAGATGCCTGGGGGTAAAAAAAATATATAAAAGGGAAAAAAAATACATAAAATAAAATAAATAAATCAATAACTGTAAGGACAAAAGCAGAGTCCTCACTCAAATTGTATCTCTACAAACTCTGGTCTTACAGACTTCATATAGTTGACCCATTTTAACCATAATTTTACAAATTTTGTCTTACATATTACATATATTTCATTGACCAGGTGTATCCAGTCATCCACTGTGGGGGGTCAGGAGACAGCCACTTCATTGTTACAATGCAATTAATAGAATGTCCCATAAATATTTGTCCGATCTTGTTACATCAAAATTTAGCACCCCTTGGAAAAGTGTGTCAAATTGACAAAGTAATTCTAAACTAAAATTTTCAGTTCATTTTAAGCAACTCTGTTCTTAATACTGAGCATTCCCAAAATACACACCAGTGACTGGCTTCCCGCTCTCCACACATCCTCCAACATCCCTGATTTTCTACAGGTTTCTGCTTTGGAGTAATAGAAAAAAAATTGAGTAACACAATTCCACCCAAATTCTCTTCAGACGTGAATTAGTACATCTCCACTAAAATTCACATATCTTATGCCATATTTCACTCGAAATGGTAATACTACTTTCTTTTCCACATTTTTGTTTTCTATATTCTGTAGAACTTCCTTTTTTTTACCATTAAGCCTTTGTACATTTCAGATATGATTCCTTTGTGAGGCTGAGACTGATTAAGCAGGTAAACATGTTGAATTGAGGCTCACTGATTTAAAAATGTGATCAGGTATTTTTTTAGCGTTTTAAATGTACATAAACTCGATTGTGCTCATTAAAAAGCTTCGCTCCACATGTGAGACTTTTCACCGTTTTTCTTTGTTTACTTGTGTATTTTCTTCTTTCATGCTCTCAGTTTTCATTGGCTGTTGTGGGAATCGGTTCAGATTGAGTCGTTGATCAGTTTACACTAGATTTCGCTCAGAGTCGGGTTGAAAAAAAAAAAATCAAACGTTTGATAAACATGTTTTTGTTTATCATTAAAAAGAGAGAATTTTGCTAAAGGGATGAGTTTGTGTGGGTAAAACATGCAATTTGAATGATCCACATCCATCAGTCACACTGCAGATAGAACCTTATAACACCAGCTTTGTATGAACTTCATATGGGATTTGCAGTAAAGGAACGTTTTAATTAACCTATCAAAAAATCTGCATTAAATAATTAACTGTATGTACATAACTCAAATGCTAAATGATGTCAGATAGAAACCTGAAATAATTATAAGCATATGGGTAGCTTTTCATTCCATTTTATGAGCAATAAAGGGAACTGCTTACTTCCATGTCTGGGACTCCTAGAACAAAACTCCCTTTACTAACATTAGAGAACTAAAACCAGATGAAAGCACGTTCTCAATATTTTGTAACTGACATAAAAGCACTAAAAGACTGTATTTAAAATTAACACTAACAATTCTGCGAATCGACTTAAGTAGCCTAACTGCACTACAGAAGCACTCATACAGAAGTTCTTCTCAGAAAACCTGACAGACACTGGCACCCAGCCATAAAACGTCCTGTTGTCATTTTTGGATTTACACTCAATGACGCCTGGTTGAATAAATAAAAGTAAACTTGAATAATTTAAATGGTTTCAAATTCATTTTTGTGACATTTTTTAACTTAAGTGACCAAATTCTCATTATCACAACATAGTAATATTTAAATACTATTTAAAGACAAATGTTAAAATGCTTTATTAATCCATAAACTGTTATGAAGTATTTTGAAACAAAATGTTAAAATATACATTTTACATAATACAAATTTTGCACTGGGGTTTTTGCTGCTATTTGTGCCACATAAAATTTTATTGTTCTGGTTTATGTATTATATATATTTTAATGAGGTTCAAAGAAAGACAAAAACAAATTAATTTTTCTAATTTAAAAAAAAA